CTACTATTTGCTTCATGCCCAACTTGAGCTTCCTCTATGCCCTCTCACCACTCTCTAATTCTAGTCACAGTGACTTCTCCCTCCAGGAAGCAACTTGATTCTTCTTTGGGCCTCTCACATAACATAACCATGCACTGGCAAGTTGCTGTTTAACTTGACTAGTGCACGTATCCTGTTCGTAGAGAGGTCCAGGAGACTTCAACTGGCAGGACCAAGGTCACAGACAGTGCATCTTTGGAGAACCCACAGTAGCAGGCAGAATGCTGTTTGCATGAGCATTCTCTAAGTATTTGTTGACAGATTTATATTACTAATCAGTGCTTTATGATGGTCCTAGGAATAATCAATCCCTGGGAAAAAATACAAGTATTTTTCTATTATGAAAATAATAAATGGGCTTATTGGTTTTAGGAAATGTTAATAGACTGTAATTTAACTAATTTATAAGTAAATGTTATTTTTTCCCTATGACAGAGCAGCATCATGTTAGGCCATCCAGATGTAGAGGACTCTGAACAGTATCTTCCCATTAGAGACTGATGGGAAGGATAAGAATAACATTTTTGAGATGTACATCATCATACACAGCACAGGGAACAATTAAGAATCTAAAAAGCAATGTTGAAGTCTCATTCATTCATTCACTCATTCATTCAACAAACCGTCAGAGAAAAAAACCTACTGTGTGACAGGCCGTCTTAGCAATGGGGAACTAAAAGGAAATGAGAAATATCAACCACTCAGTGCTGGCTAAGGCAGACCCAAACACAATCAATCTAAAAATTCATCTACCCATGTCCATGTAAAACCATAATACACTTGGTTAAAGTGCATTAAAATATTTTATCTTATTGCTTTAAGCAATGCAAATAGTTTTCTTTGGCCTAAACACCACCAAACTTCAATTATCCTAGAAACTCTTTCAAAGAGAGATTGCTTCATCTCTGCCCATCGCCGAGGGGTTAGGTGTTTGCTGTTGAAGTAGGACACAGCGATGGCTACGAGCAATACAGGTAAAGTTGCCCAGAGCTTGTCTAAACAAAAGTTCACTACCTGTGACGAGGGCCACAAGGACTCAGTCCCTATCGATGCACCAGCAGCTGCTGAAGCATTCTTATGCTTCACGGGAGCATAACATTTTCTTCTGAAACTTAAGGAAAAATAGAAAACCATTTACCAACCACAAAAATGTACACTGAAAATATTGTGTGTGAAATAAAAAATGAGCTGCAATATACTTTTAAAACCAGAGAAAAAGTAGAAAATAGTAAGTATCTCCCCATGTCAGCTACAACCTTCTGAATGAAACTGAAGCAGAAATGTTGCAATTCCAGCTAAGCAACTTTGCAATGAAGCAACTTAAAATGATCTACCTACTATATAAACTAAAAGTAAGATGATAGGGGTAAATCTACCCTTTCAGATCCCATTTTTCAAGTGTGTTTTTAGATGGAAGGATGTAGCTCTTAATGGATCAATGGGCTTTCATTTAACTAGAAATTCACTAAACCAGAAATCGGCAGTTTCTAAATCTACACAATTAATTTGACAACGAACTTGACTATTGAATCTGAATTGTAAAACTAATACGTAACTGCTCTGTTCTTGTTTTAAATCACAGGGGTTTCTTCTAGGACGGCAAAGGAATGAGCACTTAGTCTACTTCGTGGAGGAAGGAGCGGTTTCTAGTCCTGAAAAACAGGAGATCGCCTACATGATCACCTGGGACAAACTTGGCCAGTGCAAGGAGGCCAGAAGGTTATAGGAGCCTGGGAATGTTTAACATCAAGAAGGGAATTACAGCTCAGTAAGATCACAGGGAATTACACAGGAAATGTGAACAGTAACCCTTTCATATCTCCGTACCCCTCCCACTGCCTGTGATAAATGGAGTCCTGCTGCACACCGTCCAGCTATGCAAGTGCACAAGCCAGCAGCAGGGGGGAACTGGGAAAAAGGAAAAAAATCCATTTTATACACACACAGGGCACGGCATAAATTCATGACATGATAAAATCACACTGCTTCAGGAAACAGCCTTTAGCCTTTCTCACTGCCACGTATGCGCCGTATCCCTGCCTTATCCAACAGAGCCCTAAGTAAAAATTCCAAAGGAACGTGAAGAACCATGCGGGGGTGGGGTAGAACAGTTGGCGGAGTCATCATAAGGAGGAAAACGTGGCTCCTCTGAAGCTGACCAAACAAACAGGTCTCCACCCTGGCTTATGTTTAAACATCTTGTTCCTAGTCAGTCTGGAGGGAAAACATTCTTTCCATAATAAATAATACGCAACTGAATCAGACATTCTTACTCCAGCCTTTGTCCCCTCGGTGTAAAAGTTTCTTCAGTACTGTCAGCCAGAAGCTGAGAGAATTGAAATGATTATATGAACTTTTTGTTTCAAGAGTAACTCAGTTGCATAAAGTCAAGGCAAGTTAAAATATTTCTAGTTGTTAATTTAGAAAAGCTAATGTGACTGCCCAGATCCTATACTCTTTAGAGACGCCTGGTTCACATTTCAAGAAAACAAGCTACCTTTACTACATCTGCTCCTGGAAAAGGGAAAACTCGGTTTCTAGAAACAGGTGAGTTTGAGAGAGATTCACTAAAAAACAAACCAAAAAAATCCTTCATGGATAATAAAGGCATGGATGGAGTATCAAAATAAAATGAATAAAAAAAATGATTTTTCCAATGGGCTAAGTTTAAAATATGGAATGGAATTTCATAGGTCATTTTGAAACAAGATTTAACTTTTCCCACTGGTATAACTTTAGAATAGAGATGTTCGGCCACACAGAGTAGGTCCAGAAACAAATGAAAGTGAGTACGGAGATGGCAAAGCAAACCACCAACAAAGGTGAAAGGGGTAAGCATTTTAGAACAGAAGCACCAACAATGAAACCAAAGGATTTTTTCCCCCTGCAAAGTGCCTCCTCTAAAGCACACACATTTCCTTTAAGAAATAGCCTATACAGCAGTGTTTTTATACAGTAAATGGTACACTCTGATGGCAAATGAGATTTCAATTACAGACTTCCTAGTCACCTTAAAGGCAAACAACTGACGCCTAATTTCTGTAGCACTGGCTCACAGGTAGGCAGGCAGTCCCATGACTCTGCAGCAAGCTAAAGACACTGCCCTGACCGACGTGGATCAGTTGGGTGAGGGTCATCCAGTGAGGTGAAGGGTCTCTGGCTCAATTCCTGATCAGGGCACATGACTCGGTCACAGGTTCAGTGCCCAGCCAGGGCTCATAGGCAAGGCAACAGTCCATGTTTCTCTCTCACATCGATGTTTCTCTTCCTCTTTCTCCTTCCCTTCCCCTCTCTTTAAAAATAAGTAAGATGTTTAAAGGTGCTGCTCTTTTCATGGATTTAGAGTTGCTATAAAATTTACATTAGGAAAACAGCAGAATGAAAGGGCACAAAAATGATAAAATGATCATTTTATCATTTAAATAATGATAAACCAAAATAATAAACCAGCCTTCTGATTGGGGTTCTGAGAGGGAATCAGTTCCCCATTACAGTGTGGACCCTGAAGTGCACCAAGTAGAAACTCAATGGAGCGGTCACCCTCATCTGGAAAGGAGAGCTACTGTTACTACTCCTTAACCATTTTTTACTCATAAGCATAAAAACTTCATATCCTCATTGTATATTATTTGAGATTTCAAAATAACTTAAACATTATATAGTCAAAAAGAAACTATAGCAAGATAATTTTTTGCTCTTTTTTCAAACAATGTTCTACAACAAAATTTGTTAGCAAATACTTCTATAAGTAGACAAATATTAATACTTTACTATTGTTTTGAAGACAAAAAGGTCAGAGATATCTACAAACACTAATGTACTGATGAAAATGAAGTGCTCACTCTTGGGACTTCACCATATCTCCTCTCATGAAGAATTACTGTAGATGATGTTTTCCGTTCTTACATTAGGCGTGAAGAAATGCTGACTGACACAATATTAGGCCTTCAGTATTTGTTAAATGGTTCAGCAATAAGGCCTCTTTTTTCTATTTTGAAACTAACAGTGCCCTAACATAGTATTCTCTTTCAAGGAATAAAGGATAGAAGCAAGCAGTGTGAGTCTTCAGAACAGGGACAAGAGTAAAAAGATGCAAATTGTAGTCAGCCTTGACAACATAACAAAAACGGCAAAAGTATCAGCACATTAGTACAGCACTTTGAAATGTATGAAACATTTTATGTAATTTCAACCCCGCGACTTTATAATGTGGATATCATCTGATTGAAATTGCATAAAGTGGCTTTTTGAAAGTTACCCAGCTAATTAAGCAGCATAATTGAAATTTAAACCCTTCTGACAGCTAGCCCATTCATTAAAGGCTCTTAACTTTATCGCAAAATTTTGAAAATATCTTCATCCAAACTCCAAAATCAGGGTATAAATAATAAGCACACCTTTTTTTCTCTTAACCCAACCAATATCACTCACTCCCTACTAATTCCCGAAACATTCTCCGAGTTCTCATCGCTACAGCCTTTATTTCCTCATACCAGCATGACTAAGGGCACAAGGAAAATCACCTTTCAAAACAAACCTTTCCGCCAGGTCTTATGTCCTGTAAGAGTCACCCTGAACGAGGACACCATCACAGGCATAAGCTTAGAAAAGCATTAACTACTACAGAAATGTCCGGCGTTGTCTGTCCTTTGTCAAGCATGAGTCAGACATGACACACACGCCTCGTCATTCCTAACAGGTGAGCCGGAGCCACCCTCTCATCCCCAGCCTTCTGGCTCATCCCAAGGAGCAGGCAGAGAACGGCTGACGACGGCACACGAATAACAAAGCTAACAGAACTAAAAGTTCCACTCCTATCAATTTCTAAAAATCATTCTAAATCTTTTACTTTTGAAAACTTATTAAAGATCAATAAACTAATGGTAGTAGCAATTTAAGGTAAATGCGAGGTATAATGAAGGTAAACTTTTATTCATATAAAATGAATATAGAATACTCACTTTTGTCAACAAAAGGTCACTGCCACCAATCCAATGCCAACGGGAATCCCCATTCTGCCTTGCGGTAAAAAGATGAACAATTTGCAAATTGTGGAATGGGAGTCTCTGGTGAAAGCCAATGATGTGTTCCGCAAAGACAAAGGGGAGGGCTTTTTGTTTTGTTTTGTTTTGTTTTGTTTACAGAAAAGTTCCTACCCAGGTTCACGATTGGTTCGTTTCTATGCCAATGAGGAATCCAAACAGCATAGTTCCCATTGGTCCAAATAGCACTGTCTTGATTGGTCAGCTTTGCGCATTCTGTTTTTGTCGTTATGGAGCTGCTCTGACTGGTCAGAATAAATGCAAATGAGTGGCAACGTTCCAATGGACAGGCAGGGTTCAGTGCACTCAGTTGAAAGACGATACCAGAAGCTCCCTTTTAAGGTTCACGTCAGAGAGTAGGAGCTCAGTGCAGCAGGCTTGGCGGCTCAGTCCACGGCTTTTCCCTGAAACACAGCATTTGCGAGAGGCCTCTGTTAGCAATGGCTCCTGTACTATGATTATGATTTGGGGCCTAATTAACCATGAGGAATCCTTTCTGGCAGATATATTCTTCCTCAGGGTTCACAGTTATGAAGTTTATCATGAAGACTATGAGACTAAATTACATGAAAAAATGCTAAACATCTTGCCTGATACATAATAACTACTCAGTAAATGTCTGCTGCTGTTACCAATGTTATTGAAGTATCAAAAACAAAACATACGATGGAAGGTCATATTTAAAATGCACCAGAAAACAATATAATCTGTGAATTACCTTAACTTATATTCGAAATAGAAATATCTGTTCTGTGCATAGAATCATAGTCATATAAATATTCCGGAAATGATTTGGAAGAAATAGCAAAATGACGGGAGAGTCATTTTGGGAAGATGGGAGAGTAAGTTGTCAAAGGAACTTTGATCCGTAATTTTTAAAAGTATTTTTGTATTCCTTCTTTAAATAAAGTAATGTTTTAAAAACCAAAATAGAAAACCTATTTAGGCAAAATATTATATTAGTAGTAAGTTTCTAAATTCCACAGTTGACTTCAGTATTACATGACAAAGAATACTTTCATTTTTAGTTAATGTGTCCAGATGAGAATTAAAACCTCATTTTCTTGCCCTGGCCAGTGTGGCTCAGTTGGTTGGAGTGGCATCCCATGAACCAAAAGGTCACAGGTTCAATTCCTGGTCAGGGCACATACCTAGGTTGAGGCTTCAGTCCCCTATCAGGGCACTTACCAGAGGCAACTAACCAACTGATGTTTCCCTCCCTCCCTCCCTTCCTTCCCTTCTCTCTAAATCAATAAGCATGTCCTCTGGTGAGGATTAAAAAAAAATAAAATCTCATACTCTTTACTCAAGTTTTATACTACACATTGCTTTTAATAATCTTTCTAATTGCTATATTAAAAATACCTGCTCGTGCAAAAAAGAAAAGAAAAAATCTATTTTATTTAGTTTTAAAACCACTTAATGTATTTAATCAAGGTGCAAGGAGGCTTTCAAAGGCCGGGAAGTCATAAATAAAAATAGCTTTACGTGAAAAGATGACTTTTTCTCTTAAATTTTGTATGTGGAATATTTAATACACCACATACAGAAAGTTGAACCCTTGATTCTTTTTAAAGCCAAAGGGTCGTCTATTTAAAATCATCCTAACAATTTCAAATGTCTTGAGGGTTTCTTTAATTAAAAATCTCTCCTTCTAGGCTCTTCCTAACTTCTAATTCTGGTCTGTACCATATTGATGCTGGTTTTAAAATTCTAACTTTCCTTCTATTTTACAACCATCACTTTGACTTTTTCGTCCCATTCTTTTTTCCTTCAGATCAGCGAGATCTGAGCCTATAAATTGTGGGCAAACCAGATCACCAAAGCCCTTATTAACTCCCTCGGAGCAGCAAACAGTGGCCTCCAGGCATGAAGGTAAGCCACTGGCACCACAGGCCCAACCAGCCCCGGCCCCAGCAACTTACAGATCCAGCTTATAAATTAAAGGCCTCCAGTGTTATAAAAAGAGATAGACATTTCAAAGGATGGGAGAGAGAGAGAGCAAGCAGCCTCTCTCTGACCAGGAGGACACTGGGCTGAACAGGACATCCCCACCTCAAAAAGCTTTGGGAGTCAGCTCTTCATTGTGGGAGGCTGTGCAAATCTGTTAGATACATTTAAAATGCAAGAAAGCCCTTTTCTGTAAATTAATGAAGGAGAGTATTTGATCAAAAGGTATTCTCTGTAATTTCAAATAAAGATTCTAGTTATAATCTGTAACTAGTAGAGGGCAATTCTGAAAATAATTATAATAATACACAGCTTTATTTCTAGAAAATGAAAAACATGTACAGATGATTTTTTTCACTTAGGTGCTCAGTTATGAACTCATTAAGCTGCTGTAATAAAACATACAACAATGGTTCTTCCAGCAGACGACCCCCTTAATTCTGTCTTTACTTAACACAATAGTTAACAACATGAACTTTGGAGCCAAATGCCAGATCCACTACATACTAGTTGTTACTGGTTAAGTAACTAGACTGCTCTGGGCCTCAGTTTCTTAGCTAATATTAACACCTACTTTATAAGATTACTGCAAGGATTATATAACTCACGTTATGTAAAGCACTAGAACTGGGTCTAACACAGAGAAATGCATTGTAAAATTCTTGGCTGTCTTCATCCTTAACATCAGAAACTTTCAGGTCTCGGAACATAACTTTAAGCACAGCTTACTGCAAACACTGATGGAAGAGGTTCCTTGAGGCTGCCTAGTTCTACTCTTAGGACACATTCAAAGTCACTGCATCTCTTTCTGTTGTGTGTTCCAGTGATTGCATCCCTCCTATACGCCTCCATGTACGCTGTGCTCTGGTTCCCTGTTTACTCCGCTTCTTCTGGACTATAAATGCCTTGAGAACATGGACTACATCTTACCTTGTGGTCTCAACATCTAGCACAGAGCCTTGCATAAAGTAGACGCAATACGAAAAATGAAACAATAAATATTAGCTACTTATCTGACTGCCTCAATCAAGTTCCTGAGGACAGAGGCTACCAAATGCAGATCTTTGGATCCTTAGAGGGGTCTTCTCTACAGTGGTGCTTAAAGCCTATCACCTACATTTTGTATCTAATATTCTAATATATTTTGAATTTTACTTGAATTTATTCATGATCCTTTATGTACTAAAACAAAATGCACTTTGAAATACAATAATTCTCCTTTCCCCCCTAAAACCTCTTAATAGAAAAGGAAGTAGACTTTTCAATGATATTTTAGTCCTCAAAGCGATGACCACAAGGAGGAGAAGCGACCGATGTTTGCTGCCTGATCTCTTTCTTCCATGCTGTTCTGGATGGAATCTTTGGCAGTGGCCCATCCCCCAGAACCTAGCCAGAACAAAGCCCTTCCTCAAAAAGAGTCAGGCTTGGACTGCTGTAGAGATTTCATTCAGTCAGTAATGTTTCCTAGCTCTTTTGCATTTATAACATGTTCATTATTTCAAAATTCTCTCTGACCACCCAGCTTGTGACCATGCCCGGTTCAGCTTGTGACAAACAGCCACCTTGGGCAGCATTCTACTCCAGATCTTCCTAAAACATGATTGGGTGCTGGCAGCCTTTTTACCACTTGGGAGCTCATCAATGAAAGGTCTTCAGTGAGACCTTCAGTCTGATTTCTGACTGCTGCCACACAGTGGGGCTACCTCCCAGCATCCGCAATCTCAAGACATGCACATATCCCAAGGAAAAGGGTAGTAACCTTTTTAGAGTCTAGATAAACACCTTACATTTCTCAGGGGAAAACAGTGACTTAACATTCCTCTGAGTCATTCTACTACCAGATTACTTCCAGGTGTCTAAACTGTGCCTCTCTGCCACATCATGTGTCACTGACTATTAGGTCAGAGCACAAACACACAAGTCACATATGATCCCTTCTTCTTGTTCTCCTTACTCAAAGTCATAAGCTGTTTTATTCCTCTTGACTTTACAAGATGAAATTAAGCTGACTTCTTTGCTTAATGAAATTAAAAATAAAAATGCTGTCAAACTGACACTTCCTTACTATCACTGGTGCTCTTGATCAGTCAAGGAATTTCAAGGTTAGAAAGGACCTTGGAGAGTCACCTTCCTCATTGAATATATCTAGCCTGAGGCCCAGGAAAGTTGAGGCTTTGCTATGGTCTCACACATGCACACAGAGAACCAAGGCTCGAGCAAAGGTCTTCTTGCCTTTTTTTCACACACCACACTAAGTGAGCCTCTTGCCAAGAACTTCACCCTAACCCACAGTGCTGAAGAAGCTGTTCTCATTCCCAGCCTCACCCTGCTAGTCTCTACATCTTGGTAGTCCAGCTACATAATTATGTGCCCCCCAAATATGAGAAAGACAAGTCTCTCATCTCTAAGAATAACTTAGGAACATCACTGTTGCTTAAAGGTATTGCCCCTAGCAACTGCTACAGGTTTCTTTCTTCCACACTGTTTCCAAGACAAGACTGAATGCAGGATCCCTAAGATCCTGCTTCCTTAGATAGTCCTCAGGTACAGTCTGACAAAAATGGGAAAGCCCCATTTACAAGCACTTCTACTATAGAGAAAGAATGGAGCCCGATGCCCACTTGAGAAAGTCCCATAACTAGGAGCATTCAAAGTAAGAATAATAAATAGCCTATCAGAGACTCAAAGCAGCAAGAGGACAGCTTCTGCCATTGGCAGTGAACGAACGTTAATGACCATGTAAATTCCATGCCCTGTGTCACTTGACGTAATCACTGGCAGGGACGTGTTAGAAAACACGCTTCCTAGTACATAACTAGTGACACCCCCACCCCCCACCACAAAATCCATTAATCCGAGAATTCCCAGAAATATTCTAGACCTTATTGGCTATAGCAAGTACTAAATACAAAACTTCATATTGTAAGTTCAAATTAGATTCTCTCTACTTCTTTTTTCCTAGTCTAGTAACCAGGAAAATGGCCTGAAAGTAAGCAACAGGGAAACGAAAAAGAGTGTCTATTTTTGAGACAGAATATGGAAAGAGATCAAGGAAATTATGAGAAGTAATGTAATATGTCACAAGAGTATATTTTGAATGACTTTCTTACAGTTTATTTTGATATATATTTGGAAAACAATAATTTATTGAAAGTTGTGACAACCTTAGGGTTTTCATAATTTTTATTTCTATATAAAATTTAACAAAAATATTTTATAAGTAATTTCAAATTATAACTCACTAAAAGTCTGATATTAAAATCTCAGATCACATTAATGAAAAAGAAGTAGATAAGCAAAACCCACTATTAAATTTCTCATTGCATCCTGAGGGAAAATAAAGGACACCATCTCATTCTTGACTGTTAATTATAGCTATTACAGAGATTTAAGGTTTCAAAAAAACTTAAAAATCATCCCTAGCAGATTTCAAAGCAGACTATTTACCTTCAGA